ATATCATTCCACTCCCCATTCCGTTAGCTTTTTGAGGATATGCGTTAGAATAGCTGTTCTTAAATGAAGGCTTTTCACCTTTGAGAGCATAAACTCTATAACTTTCTGCATACTTTATGTTTGAACCTCCTGAGCCATCATTGACATAAATTTTTATAGGCTTCCACCCTTTGTTCATGTTCCTGCTTCTTCCCTTAGCTCTTTTGTTCAGTAGTTTCTACATCTTTATACACAGCTCCTGTCTCAGTGAATTCAACAATATTTTCATTCGTTAGCTTTACATTCAAACCCTTGTCGAGTATATTGTTCATTTCATACATATAAAAGGTTTTTATTCTATATGAATGAGAAGCAAATCCATCTTAGCTGGTGCCGTTAATGTTCCAATTGAACCAACATCAAATGTTGACTCACGAACGACAAACAATATTGTCATAAAGAATTATAGTTCGGAGTGTTTGAAAGAAAAAGAACCAGAACTGAAATCCGTGAATTTAAACTCAGCTTCAAACGCTAACGCTACATCAGATGTTAAGTTAGAGTATCCACCACTGGACCAAATTCTTCAAGAGAAGCCAACGACAATCCTTACACAAATGTTCAAACAAATCCTTCAGATAACGTAGACCATTACCTTCTTCAGTTATACCAAACAATTTTACTCAAAGACGATAAGAAGCTTTTGACAAATCTTATAAGTAAGAACCAAATAATTCTAACAAAGGAGGACCTTGAAAATGTTATATCACGAATAACAGGGAAACAATGTGTCATTGACTATCTCGACCCTGAAATCGAATGCTGTGGTCAAACGCCACCATTCATGAAAATAGGTAACATCCGCATCATTGAAATACCAGGAACTACAGGAGTTGAGTTTAAGTATAAATATTCGAACGAGTATACAAAACCAACAGAATATAAACTTTGTTTGAAATATGTTTTAGTAAATTAAAGCAATTTGTAATATCTATCCAAAACTTCTTCAACAGTATCGAACTCATCTTCATAATGCAAACCTAATCTTATTGACTTGGTGCAGTTTTCACTAACACAATATAGCGCTTTGCGCTCGGCGCCTTTGACGCCTTTTTCTGTTCTCTTGACTGACATAACTAACTCATTTGTTTCATCAAACAGCAATACCAAAGTTCATGACCTAATACATAACATTCATACTTTATATTTTTAGCTCTGAGTTCTCTTGTAAGCTGTTGCATTTAATATTTTCTAAAAAGTCAACTTCAACAGTCATTCGCATGGTGCCTTCAGTTCTACAGGCTCGCCTTGAAAGTCAACAAGTCTGAATTGCATGTCTTTCAAATTATGAGGACTAATGCGAACCCATTTACCTAAATGAGTTGCTATGACAGGAACGTTTGGAATGAACATTGAATTGACTGCATAACAGAAAGACTTATATTCTACTGAACCTTTACTATTAACTCCTGAAATACCTGTGACATTAGCTATTTTTGACTCAATGTATAAAACAATTGCCATAACATACGTATGGAACAGATTTCATCTCATCGTTTTGTCAATACTTTTCAAAGGAAATGTCATATGGTATGCTCCCAGAAGCAATTGAACTCTATGACTCATTCGTGTTATCTTAAACTCCTTCGCATAACTGAACTTCAAAACTCCTGCAATAAGTTTAACATTCATTAAGTTTTCTTCGTTATCCTTGTTTATTGTAGTATTTATGAGAGCATTTTAACACTCCAGCTAATGTTTCATCTTATATTCTACATTATTGTGAAATCTTATTTCGTGCTTCTTTCCATCTATTTCAAACTCCATGAAATCTGTTTCATCTGTTATAACGAATGAAGCGATAGTATTGAAGTCAACCATTCTGAATGCAAGTGGCTTCATTCTGTAGACCTAAGTTTGTTTGTAGCTTTACTGTCCCGTATTCGTTTGGGTCTGTACTTTGCAAATAGAACAACATTTTATTCTCATTAAAATATGAGTATAGCTGCATATGCGTATGAAGCTGACAGAGCTAAACGTTTATATTTTGGTCAATACTCTCTCACACTTACTGACAAATATATTGTTATTTCTGATGGAAATACTGAGAAATACATAACATGGAAGGACTATGAAAAGTTTGACCCTATTTTAACTCCATGTACAATGCCTTTCATTGTAAATGAAGTTGTCATGAAGAACGACACAACAGTATATAAGTCTGTTCATGAAGCATTAGAATATATGTTGAATCATAACCCGAAATTTGACCCAAGCACTACGCCATGTACAATGCCCTTTATTAAGGACGGTGAAATCGTAAGAGTTCCGGATTCAACGGTTTACACAGCTGTTCAAAACAGTTTACAAAACATTTTAGCGAATATCTTTAATTCAGAAACTACAGAAATAAAATTACCATATATAACAGATGCTAAAGAAATTAAATCAAAAACAACAACATTATTTACGTCACTTAATGATTTAATGACTTATATCATTAATATTCCTGCACCAACTACAGCATTTGATCCAAACTCGACGGTTTGCAGTGTACCTTTCATAAAGGACAGTTCAGTAATTGTTTTAAGGGATTCAACAGTTAATGAATCATTAAAGGCGTCATTAATGAAAATCATTGATTTTAACTCATTCATGAATACATATAATTCATTCATTAATGTTTCATATGCTTCTAAAGAAGGTGAGCCAAAAACTATCGATAAAGCGGTGTATGAAATAAAAGCATCAACGACGAAATTGAATTCGTTAACTTTTGACGGTGATAGTTTCGTTAATGACATAACATCGGGGAAAACAATTTTAACAAAAGAATATTTAAAATCTCATGTTAGTGAGTTCGTTGAAATTGAAAAAAAGGTGGAATTAAGTTCGATCCACTGAATTTCATTTTCAACTTAGCGAATGCGGGTGTTAGTTTCGCTGAATGGACAACTATACAGAGTGAAATAAATGCAATATGGACGTTTTTGGGGTCAAAAGCGGGAATGGGTGAGCTTGTAAATGCTGCAAGAACATTAGGTGAAACAGGAAATTTTGTAGATGGTTTTAAAAGACTTGTTTCAAATGTTTTAACAAACACAAAGAAATTATTTAGATATACCATACATAACGGACGGATTTTCGAACAGGTAGCAACAAACCCTCCGGTTATGGCTGCGTTGATGATGGTTAGAGATATAAAACCACGTAACGACGGGAACGAAGAACATGAACAACAGAGCCCAACGGGCTCAGAGCCACATAGTGGCGAGGATACTGGTCGGGTTATTCGAGACATTAAAAACGTGTATCCTGAAGTTATTGATTTATTTAGAGGAGTTAATGATTCAATTTCAAAACATTCTATAACCCTCGATGAAGAGAATAAATTAACAGATTATATATTCGTCATTATTGCAGAATTAATGAAGAGAATAAATGAAAAAGGAATTGGTGATATCATTAATGTCAGCGATGTAATGATGAAAAGAAATTTTGACTCATTATTTACAAAACCGAAAACAGAATATAGTCTTTATGACGTAATTACCGAATTAATGAAAAAGATTAATGATAATAAGAGTTCTGGCGGAAGAGTTGAATTAGAAGTGAATGATGTTAATGAGAAATTAGCCGAAAAAGCAGATAAAAACCACGTTCATTATATAACTTCAGACGAACAGATTATAACGGACTACCATGGATATTTAACACGAAGTGATGAAGTGAAGACGGAAGATGTTAATGAAAGAAGATATAAATACATTCGTGCTAAAGGTTATGACATAAGCTGTACTGTACAGTATGACACGGGTAAAGCACCAGAAGCATTTAGTTATAACGATGAAATTTATGCCTCTACTTTCTCTGTTAACGGTGTATTAGTTGAACCAAGATTTACTTTGAGAGTTAAGGCAAAAATAACGTTTGAAGATGCTATTAAAAGTAAAGCTGACAAAGTTGAACTCGAAGCAATGAACAAAGTTTTGAAATCTCATAAACACAACATCTCCGATATAAATGAACTTCAAGCTACATTAGACAGTAAAGCTGACAAGAACCATACAAACGAATCCTTCACTACTGTTAGAGCAGACGACATAATATTGAACTTTGACCTTGGTTCAAGTGCACCATTAGAAAATCCAAGTACAAGCGTAAAAGATACACTAAACTCCTTAAATAGTAAATGTATGAACATTGAAGTCATGTCAGAAACTTTGAAGCACATGAACTACCAGCAATGTTAGATAAGAAAGCAGATAAGAACCATACACATGATTTCTTCACAACTGTTGGTATAGAAAGTATTGAAGGAACGGTTGAAGAAACTGGTGGATGCATTATATTGTAAACCTCCTAACTTTCCACAAGGTTTAACATCGGATGACGACATAACGACGATGAGAAACATTAGATGTAAAGATGTTTATGTCATGAAGGATGAACATAATATTAAATTCACTGCTCAAGATTTATATGATAAGAAAGCTGACAAGAACCATACACATAAATCCTTCACTACTGTTAGAGCAGACGACATAATATTGAACTTTGACCTTGGTTCAAGTGCACCATTAGAAAATCCAAGTACAAGCGTAAAAGATACTCTTAACAATTTAGATAAGAGTTGCAGGAATACCGAAGATCATGCCAGAAACTTTGAAGCATATGAACTACCAGCAATGTTAGATAAGAAAGCTGACAAAACTTATGTGGATGCAGAACTAACAAAGAAATTTTCGAAACCAGATACAATGACATTTACAACAGAAATTATAAATGGTGAACCAGCAACTCCATTTGAATTTGTTAGAGGTCTTCAACCAGATACTTTTGAATTTTTCTTGGATAATTCTATTGAACTAACATTACATTATAAAAGTGGAACAAATGCAACATTTCATCCGGGAGATACATTCCAAATGGTATTTAATGACATAAGTTCTTTAGAATATGTTTATAGAGTTATGAGCATATATGATTTAATATATCCTATAGGAGCTGTTTATACGTCTATGAATCCAATAAATCCAAACACTTTATTTGGTGGTAGATGGTATGAAATAGTTGACAGTTTTCCATTCTACACTAATACGCAGTCAATGAAGATGGGAGGTTCAAAGAAAATAGGTATTGAAAACCTTCCTTCACATATGCATAGGTTCAGTGGAAGAACATCTGTGGAAGGAAACCATTCACATTCAATAACAAAAAGAGGTTATACAAATCTTGCAGCGGGTTCGGATAGACAGGGAATGCATAGATATGATATTTCAACTGACCCAGTAGATTCAAGCACAGGTATTTTCTGTGGAACTGCAGGAAATCATACACATGTTGTAGCTGGTATTACAGACCCAGCAGGTAATGGAAAAGATTATATGCCTCCTTATATAACAATGCACGCTTGGATACGAGTTGGTTAAAATCTTTAACTTTACATAAATGAGCTTGAAAGAAGTATTCGAACAACATCCATGGAGGTCATTTAAGAAATTCAATGAAGCTGCAAAGAGTTGGGGATTTACTAACAGAGCTGAAGTGAAAAGGTTCTTTGACAAAAATGTTGTACATCAAACAAAAATAAACCCTTACGACTACTTTTTACCAATTTACTCCAACACTCCTGACGCATACCAATTTGACACTCTCATTCAAAGCAGAAAATGTGGTCATAAACCATTCCTCATCTTCATTAATGTTAACACTCGTAAAGCATATGCATATCAATGAAAAATAAAGGAACTCGTGAAGTGTTAAGAGTTTTACAAAAGTTTGTAGCAGAACATAGCCCAAGTACTTTAACATCAGACCAAGACAGTGCATACCTCAGCAATGAAATCACAGATTTTCTCATTAAGCATAACATAACTCACTACACTACTGAAGACCATAACCATAACATACTCGGTATCATTAACCGCTTCATAAGAACGCTCAGAGATTTAAATCAAGAGCGAGACTTTACCGAAGAAACAATGAAACATTTCATCGAAGTTTACAATTCCTCAACACATTCTACAACAGGACATACACCAAATTCAATGACACAACAACAAGAAGAAAAGTATATACAAAAGAAACGAAGCCAAACACAAAATATCAGAAATTCAACACAATTTACCTCATTCCTGGTACAAAAGTTCGTGTAGTTCTTGACGACAAACCTTGACAAAGAAACGTTTAAGGTTAAGTAGAAACTATTATATCGTAGACTCTACAAGGTAATGGATATCTTATAAAAGCTGCTGACGACTCCATAGCATTTTACCCTCGACATAAATTAGTTGAAAGTAGTAATGGCAAACTTGCTGAAACCATTGACGAAGCAAAGCGAGGAGTGGTTATTGAAATACTTGACTACAACATAAACGATGACACTTATAAAGTAAGATATGAAGGAGGCGTTGAAGATGTTATACCATCTAAGAACTTGAGAGAGTCGAAGCCAACACATCTGGGACCATTAGAGCGGGAGTACTGGAAAGATAAAAACATGCCAGAAAGAATAAGAAAATTCTTCTAAACTTTTTCGTTGGATGTAAATCAGACATGAATATAATTTAGGTGAAGAGGTGAGATGTCACCTGTTTTTTCACCTCTTTTCTCACCTCATGAATTTTCATGAATTTTCCCGAAATAAAAAATAAAATTAGTTTTATTTTTATTTATTTTTTTATTTTGTATGTAAGAACAGAAATGTCAGTCGAAGCAAAAACATTCACGAACAAATCTAATGGTGAAACATTCACAAAAGGCACTTATAATGGTATTGAAGTCTTACGTAGAGACAAGGATGGTTACATTAATGCAACAAAGATGTGTCAGCAGTTTAGGAAAGACTTTAGAAGGTTGTTGGAAAATAAGTCCTGGGAAGAGTATTTTAAGGCATTTTGTGAAGAATATACCAACCCGCGGAATTCCGGCGGTTGCTTTTTATATAAAATTCATGCAGGAATTCCCGATGAAATCAAACAGGTTAGAGGAATGTATGTAGACCCAAGACTTATAAACTATATAGCAATGGGCTTCTCCAAAATATTGCAAGCAGTTGGAAAAATTATGGACTCCATAGACAAGAAAGTTCATGAGAAGTTAGATGAAGAAGAACTCGAAGATACAGTAGAAAATGCTAAACCTTTGTTTGAAGAAGAAGTTGGAAAAATGTGCGAAAAACAATTAGAACATGAACGTGAGATATATTATGGTTATAGAATTCTCCATACGAACTAGACCAATGGGAACAAGAAGATTTAAAGAGAGAATTTAGAGAATATGAACTCGCTAAGATAGCATTTGAAGCTGCCAGAAAAGAAGTTAAAAGTTTTGGGTCGTTTTGTACAAAAATATTGTGAGTAAATGAACCATTTATTTTTGGTCAAAGCTTCCACGAGAGAAAAGATTCCTCATTCGCTAAGGATTCCAAAAATAAAAAATCATTGATTTCGGCTGAGAAAAAACAGCAAACCCTTCTTCCACGGGAACAAAGAAATAAAGAAGAAATAAAGAAGAAATAAAGTAAATTTTTTATTTATTCCCGTGGAAGATAGAGCACTTTTATGACACTTTTTATTCACGACAAAAACAAGACAAACAAAGAAAATAAGAAAATACGGCGCTGTCGCGGTTCGAACCACAGACCCTGACCCCTCCATAACACCACCTTAGACCACTGTGCTACGTAGCCTGTCGACATAAGATTTATAAAATTGCATATTTGACGTAAATTTATTTCCCAGTTATTCAAAAATAATTAATTATTGAAGAACTAAAGGTGCTACCATGTTACCATGTGCTACCAGGTCATTTAACTTCTCTGAAAAAATGAGACAACATGACATTTTGACAACAACACAGGAGGAAGGTAGTTATGAATTATTTTTAAAGAACTAAAGGTGCTACCATGTTACCATGTTGACAACATGACATTTTGACAACAGTTCAGGAGGAAGGTAGTTATGAATTATTTTTAAAGAACTAAAGGTGCTACCATGTTACCATGTGCTACCAGGTCATTTAACTTCTCTGAAAAAATGAGACAACATGACATTTTGACAACAACACAGGAGGAAGGTAGTTATGAATTATTTTAAAGAACTAAAGGTGCTACCATGTTACCATGTTTGAAACATGACATTTTGACAACAGTTCAGGAGGAAGGTAGTTATGAATTATTTTTAAAGAACTAAAGGTGCTACCATGTTACCATGTGCTACCAGGTCATTTAACTTCTCTGAAAAAATGAGACAACATGACATTTTGACAACAACACAGGATTAATGCAAAAATAAATTCCAATCATACTTTATAAAGCTAGACCTTCAGGTCTCGCCGCTTAGCGGCTCATTTACAGGTATTTCATCATCAGTAAATGATTCCTCATTATCGTTTGGTTCAACCTGTTTATATAATCCTTTCATTTCTTCTTTCAAAACATAATACCATGTTTGTTTACCGTCTATTCTTCTATGTTTCCTATCACATTTATCCTTAATACTCATTTGAAAGTTTTTGTCTTTCATGTCTGATGGTTTGCAGAATAGAGCATTTTCACACGTCATACCTGCACACAATTCATCATAATGTGTATTTATCCATACATCTAAAGGATTTGATGATAATTCTATTAAATCTTGTTTGGCTTCAGTCATCGGAATGATTCGTACATTAAATGATGAAAGGTCATATTGCATAAAATACGTCAGTAAATTATCATAAAATTCCTTTGTGCATGAATCCATTAAATTCTTGAAGTAATCAAATTGACCCTTGAATTTACCATTAACTCTTAAAACTACGTATCTTCTGTCTCCAACTTCAATTTTGACAGGGTAAACGTTATTAGTTACGAAAATGAAGTTTGCAACGTTCTGAGCTGTTCTTCTGGGTTGATTCTTTTCATTAATTCTAATCTCATTATCCGTAATAATTGATTTCAAAGCGTTGAAGTTTGCGAGTCTGTCTTCACCCACATTCTTGAGTTCATTAAGTACAAGAAACATTTTATTTTCAACAACTGAGTTGAAATTACCCGTTAGCTCACTTATTTCGGTAATGTTTTTACATGAATAACCAGCGAGGAGTTCAGAAATAATGTCTGTAAATCTGTTTTTACCTGTTCCCTGAAGTCCTTTCAAAATAATTGCTGTTTCATTCTTGATTCCAGGATGTTGAATCATTGATGCAATCCAGCCGAGAAGGTATTTATACACTTCATCGTTATTATCACAAATGGCTTCTTTAATGAAATTCATAAACATCTCAATTTTTGAGTAATCTGGTTTTTCGAGAACGTTGTATTTATAACCTTGAAACGTTGAGAAAACATCTGGGGAATCAGATTTAAAGCAAACACCCTTAACGGTTAATGAAGACAATTGATTTAGTAGTACATCCCATGCTGTTATGGTTTTACCTTCTTCTTTAAATAATTTAATCATTTTGAGTGACTCTTTCATGTTTGACTGAAGAACAAATGATATTTGATTCATTTTGTCGTGGATATTATAATCTTTCTGAATGAAATATTTATTTCCACAATCTACAAAACGGATTACACGTGATAAATCCTCAATTACTTCAGAACTGTTTTTATACTGATGATTTTCAGCCTTGCGTCTAATATCTGTTATCAAAAAGTCATCAAGTTTGATATCAAATTATTTTTGGCTTACGTAATAAAGGTAAAACATATTCAATAATATTCTTTTGATATAGTTTTAGAATCTTCACTAAAACAAATGGAGAAGTCATTAAATGTGCATATCTACTACGTGCTTTTTCAAAAATTACTTTTTGCATTTTCTGTTAAACTGCAGAAGTTATAAACGTTATCGTATGCTTCATTAATTAAATGATCCGGTAACGAATTAATAGCTTGAAACAGTGTGAATAATGTTATTTCTTTTTCTAAATTCATGTTTCCACCGTCATTATGTACTTCAAAATCACAGATGCCATCAACTATGCTCTGAGCTAGTTTATCGTCAATGTTTACATCTTTGTTTTCATTCATGATAGTCTTTATTTCTTCATTCTTCTGTTCAACTCTTACCTTAATATTCAAATCATTTAATATATCATTCACTGTTCTAGTTAATGTTGAATCATAACTTCCACGAATGAATGAGTATGTTTTGATTGGTTCTGTTGCATTCTTGCGAACTCTTGAATCAGCCATAACCACTAAAGAACGCTTTGAATCATCCATAGAAGTCATGATATCAATATCATAATCATTGCAGGAATAACATTTAATCATTCTGTTCGAAACTGCATAGAAGAAATTAGTGTTGCAATAAATGTGAAGACCTCCTGAAGCGGTTTTAACGATAACATCTTTATCCGAAAGTTTTGATAAAATGTCTTTTTAACTGTTTCTTTAAGTTCATCATTGTATGATTTATTGATATCAACATCTATAATCGTTAAATTTGAAATTTTATTTACTAATAAAGCCATACCAGTTTTCCTTCCTCTTCCTCCATCATGTTTGAGGTAGTTATGTAAATCAATCCTGTTTTCACCAATTCTTTCGTTGAGGGTTTTAGTTTCTGCCACAACTAATTCCTCAGCTAATGAATCAATAACTTTTTCATCAGAAACGATATAGTTGCTGTTGTTGTTTGTTGCTGTCATTTATATAGGAATAAAAAATAAAAACAATTCATAACTAACTTTATTTTTGGACTGCATCATATTTTCCTGTGTTGTTGTCAAAATGTCATGTTGTCACACTTTTTCAGAGAAGTTAAATGACCTGGTAGCACATGGTAACATGGTAGCACCTTTAGTTCTTCAAAAATAATTCATAACTACCTTCCTCCTGTGTTGTTGTCAAAATGTCATGTTGTCACACTTTTTCAGAGAAGTTAAATGACCTGGTAGCACATGGTAACATGGTAGCACCTTTAGTTCTTTAAAAATAATTCATAACTACCTTCCTCCTGTGTTGTTGTCAAAATGTCATGTTGTCACACTTTTTCAGAGAAGTTAAATGACCTGGTAGCACATGGTAACATGGTAGCACCTTTAGTTCTTTAAAAATAATTCATAACTACCTTCCTCCTGTGTTGTTGTCAAAATGTCATGTTGTCACACTTTTCAGAGAAGTTAAATGACCTGGTAGCACATGGTAACATGGTAGCACCTTTAGTTCTTTAAAAATAATTCATAACTACCTTCCTCCTGTGTTGTTGTCAAAATGTCATGTTGTCACACTTTTTCAGAGAAGTTAAATGACCTGGTAGCACATGGTAACATGGTAGCACCTTTAGTTCTTTAAAAATAATTCATAACTACCTTCCTCCTGTGTTGTTGTCAAAATGTCATGTTGTCACACTTTTTCAGAGAAGTTAAATGACCTGGTAGCACATGGTAACATGGTAGCACCTTTAGTTCTTTAAAAATAATTCATAACTACCTTCCTCCTGTGTTGTTGTCAAAATGTCATGTTGTCACACTTTTTCAGAGAAGTTAAATGACCTGGTAGCACATGGTAACATGGTAGCACCTTTAGTTCTTCAAAAATAATTCATAACTACCTTCCTCCTGTGTTGTTGTCAAAATGTCATGTTGTCACACTTTTTCAGAGAAGTTAAATGACCTGGTAGCACATGGTAACATGGTAGCACCTTTAGTTCTTTAAAAATAATTCATAACTACCTTCCTCCTGTGTTGTTGTCAAAATGTCATGTTGTCACACTTTTTCAGAGAAGTTAAATGACCTGGTAGCACATGGTAACATGGTAGCACCTTTAGTTCTTTAAAAATAATTCATAACTACCTTCCTCCTGTGTTGTTGTCAAAATGTCATGTTGTCACACTTTTTCAGAGAAGTTAAATGACCTGGTAGCACATGGTAACATGGTAGCACCTTTAGTTCTTTAAAAATAATTCATAACTACCTTCCTCCTGTGTTGTTGTCAAAATGTCATGTTGTCACACTTTTTCAGAGAAGTTAAATGACCTGGTAGCACATGGTAACATGGTAGCACCTTTAGTTCTTTAAAAATAATTCATAACTACCTTCCTCCTGTGTTGTTGTCAAAATGTCATGTTGTCACACTTTTTCAGAGAAGTTAAATGACCTGGTAGCACATGGTAACATGGTAGCACCTTTAGTTCTTTAAAAATAATTAATTATTGAATAACCTAAAAACCATGAGACTTTGTCTCCGGATTCTTTGAGTTGAAGTTCTGAGGTCATGGGCTTCGCCCTTGCCGCTAGCGGCTTATTTTTGTCAGCAATGAGGTCATGAATGATAAAAATAAAGCTAGCGTAGATTTTACAATACTGCGATGGTAGAGTTTAAGAGTTGTGCTTCAATGTAGAGACAGTCCTTATGGTCTGGAGGCAAGAACACTGGACATTTATGGTCATGAGTGGAGAACATGTCTATCCAAAACTCACGATTGAAGCCAGTTAATTTATAGTATTTAGGGTTAGGAAGTGGTGAAGTTCTTGTATGACCAATGAACTCATTTTCAACTCCCTTACTTAAGTTTGAATATAATATAGCTTGCTTTCTATCCCAAATGCCAGGTGTTACAATCTTTGAAAATTCATTTTTCCTCGGAAGCATTGCATCATAATTGAAAACATTCTTAAAATCATCACTTGGTTCAGAGATTTGAAACCTTATACGTAATGGATTTTTTTTCTCTTTAGCGACTTCATTGAATGGTGAGAATACAATGAATTGACAGTCATGAGTTCCATCTTCATTTTCATTAAATTCATAATGAAAGTCTATAAGTTGTGGCTGACTACCTTCTTCTTTCAGTTGTGCAAGAAACTCACGTAAAGGCTGTAAAGTTTGTACTTCAATGTTGAACTTTTTCTCGAACATCTCATTAAATGAAATCATACATTGCAACAATGTTGTATCGTCTTTAAAGTATTGTATATGTGAATGTTTTGGGCGCTTAAAGACTGTTCGTCATTTTCTATCTCGACTTGAAGTATAAAGTCAACTTTCCTAAATGCACGTGTTATATACATAGATGTTATGCCAATGTACTTCTCTTCATTTATGTTCACAATCCAGTCTGTTGGAAACTTAAACGTTACTCTGTTCCCCTTTATTTTGACGTCAGGGTTTTCACTACTGAACGCAACAGTTAAAGGTATTTGTCTATACATTTTAGTTCGGATAAATAAACCATTTACTCTTTCTTTGCTTCAGCTTCTTTAGCTTTTGCTTCAGCTTCTTCTCTAGCTTTCTTTGCTAGCAAACGTGGGTTCTTTTGTCTTCCAGCAGCTAATGCAGCTAGTTGTTTTTCCACTAAGTTTTCTCTTTGGTCTCTCTGGCTTTTGTTCTTGTTTTTGTTCCTTCAGTTCGGATAAAATTTGCTCGCGAATTTCTTTCTTCAATGCTTCAACATCTATGACACCTTGGGTCTTGTCCGTAGGGCTTGTCTGAGTCATTTGATTGCAGATAAAACAAAATTAAAACTTTAACCGATGTAAAATGAGCTTGTCAAAATCAGAACGAGAGTCTATTATATTAAATGACGCCAGAGGAATACAACATCCTTTCTATTATGTAAGTCAGAGTAAAGATGGTAAAATATATGTAAGAAAAAGAAAGGTTCCATTAGCGAATACAGAGAGCGACAACATTAAGGTGCATGGCAAGGGTGAAGTCCACGAAGCCCATATAAAACCTTCTGTTCAAACTGAAAAGTCAATAGAACAAGAAGAAAAGAAGCCAGATGTTCTTTCAATAACGAACCAAGAGCTTATTGCAAAGTTCGTGAATTTCATTGAAAAGCAAACCGAGTCAAAGAACCCTGACCCGCCAGTGAAAGAAGTCGAGACAAAAGAGAATGTACAGTTCATTGAAAATGTCAAGAAACAACTTCCACCACGAATGCCAAGAAGAAGAGTGAGAATAATGAAGTAAATAGATATTTTTATCTGAAGTAAATACATGCAGAACGAACAGCTAAACGAATTTACTCCAGCAGAGCATATTCATCAGATTCGCTCATATTTCGATATCATAGACAATGCAGTTCAAATTGGTGACACTAATAGAAAATATTCTGACGCAAAGATTCCATCACAACCTGGAACTGTAAAGATAACACATGGGTAACATTCAATCTCTCACCTCCTGGTGAAAATATGTTGGACCTTTACAATACATTCATTACGTATAAAATGGAAGGTCAATTATTGTAGATAAAGAAATTGGTTCAGGTTCCAATAAAACAAACCCACCAGGATTTTGGATTGGTTTCGATGACGCTTTCTATGCAGTTGCTGGATATCAAATCCTTGCAAATGGTCGTATCGTATATTCTCAAGACAATGCAAGAGAAGAAGCATATATAACTTCAAACTCACAACTACCGAACAAATAAAGAAAGTAGATGTTTTCTCAAAGACTCGACATGAAGATGTATGGAGTCATTCGGGAACATGCAGAACAGGACAAATTGTTAGTGGTCCAATTACAGCAGGAAAATCATTTGATTTTAAGCTTCGTTTAAGAATTCCTGTTAGAAGATTCCTTCCATTAGAAGCTATTCGATTTATTCCAGCTTTTGCAGGAAACATTCAGCTTAAAGTAAAGTTCAGTAGCGACGCCTTACAATGCACATCTATATCTGTAAATGATATCATTGCTTTCAATCCAACTCTTAAAGTTGCATTTGCTTCAGATTCAAATCCACCGACAAATAAATTTGTTCCATGGAATGAACCATTCACTATGATAACGAAGGCAGTAGAAGCTAGTGGAACAGTTACTATTACAACTGTAAACCAGCAACTATTTCGAACAAAGATGGATTTTAATGAATGTTTCATTCATCCAAAGTCATTCTCTTTAGACCCTAACATTTATACAGAACTTGTAGAACATTATACAAACGAGGCTTTATGTTTTCCTGTTAAAGTTATGGATTGGATTCCTATGGACGGTTCATTCTCAAAGAATACAGATAGTTCAAGTGCAACATTTACAGCAGCTTATACGCCTATTAATGTTAAAAGTATTTGGGCACTATTTAGAAAGAAAGACAACTATTATGTTAATTTTGAGAACCCTAAGTTTAAATATCTTCAGCTTTCCATGGGAGCTTATGGAAATATGCCTACAGAACCTGAAAAATCATATGGACCTGTATTTTATGAAATGGTTGCGAACGCTTGCAATACAAACAAATGATATGATAGGATTTAATGAAGATGTTATGAGGTCATTGGTGGATGATGGTAGTGTGGAACATAAATGGGATAGCTATGACAACACACATTTCTTATGTGGTTTTCCAACAGAAGTGGACTTTTTGCTTCCAGCAAGGTCAAACATCTACTGCTCCAATAACATACAAATTGTCTGTTAAAGGACCTATTGAACTAGCAACTGAAAATGTACCAAAGCCACTTATTGGATTTATGAGGGATTGTTGCTTTGCCATTCAGGTGCGTGCTAATGGAATCCCAATAATAGAGATTAGATGACTATAACTTAGCTACGGACGACAGTGAGGAATAAAGGATGAAACGTTTATTTTTAAAGCTTATAAATGAGTTCTTCATCAAGCTCTCGTGAACCTTCACCATCTATGAAACAAACTTTACCAAACGATTATGGAGCACCTATTGAATATTTCTTACGAGCTGCACAATGGCAAAGAGCAGTCTCACCAAGGTTAGGTGTTCCACCAGCTCCTGTCAAAAATAGCATTTGGTCAAGTCCTTATATAAAATATGGTCTCCCACTAGGTTTGCTAGCTACAGCAGGAGCAGTTATGATGTTGAAAAGAAATAAAGCAAATGTTGTAAATAATACTGAAGTAGCTGAAGTTAAACAAACTCCGACACCATCACAAACAACACCTTCAATGACTCCTGAACCTATGAAAGTACAAACTCCTGTTCAAAAGTCAACTCCTAAACCGACTCCAACATTTAAACCAGAACCCACGCCTCAAATAAATCGTAAAACTCCTGCGTTTCCTTACTGAAAAAATAACGTTATTTTTATTTAATATTAAAATTTTTATTTGATTGAAATGACGACTAAAGTCACTGAGCAATGAAACAAAAGTTTTTGGTAGAATACATTAAATCAGGAGCGGTTCCAGAAGGTTTTTACGTTCATACTATGAAGGATGGTAGAGTTCAGTTTAGAAAGATAAAGCAACCATTAGATAGAGAAGGTATATTAAGGAAGATTAAACTTCATGAGGACAACATTGCTGAACTTAAGAAGAAGTTAGAAGAGTTGGAGAAAGGAAGAGAGTTATAAAGCAATGAATTCAAGTGGGTGAAAAAACAGGTGAAAAAAGAGGTGAGATCTCACCGCTTCACCTAAATTTATTTTTGTGCTATGTTTTCATACGTGTGAGGGTGGTGATATCATTAATTTTTAAGTTTATTTTTTAAAATTATTTTTATTTTATTTTTAAGTTTATTTTTATATAAATGACGAAAACTATTGAGATAACAAACTACAACGGTCATGAGTTCAAGAATTTGTTCTTCGTTCCTCGTGAAAATACATTCTATCAGATACGAGGGAGAAAGGGTAAAGTTAGTTTGAGCGTTTATGAAGGAATGAAGAATGGAAAGTTTATACAAGCATACGATACAAACGGTAAACGTGTTTCATTAGCTTTGTCAAAACTTACTAACATTTATTTTGACAGTGACTTTGACTCTGACGATTGGAGCGACAGCAGCGATACTGAAGAATATGAACTATTGTGTGAAGCACAGCAATGGGAAGAGTTGCAATACTTTTGTAAGTGAGAACGTTTATTTTTACAGTAGTAAGGTGAAGTGGTTGGCGGCTTTATAAATATTTAAGGTTAAGTTGGTGTTTGTGTTTGTGTTGTAAAATATACGTTAACGGTTTTGTAAAGTGTCAAATTCACAAGTATTGCGTACGGAGGAACGCAGTGCCTCAGTACACGAGACTTGTATACTAACTACAAACAACGGGACAAAGTAAAGACTACATGCCACCTTACATGACAGTTTACGCATGTGATAGAAATGCTTAGTCGTCATTTTCAACTTCTTTAGCATATTCGTCAGGAGTTGTCTTATATTTGTTAGGAACTGTCTTTGAAAGTATACCACCTTGAACCTTAACAAGTTTGAAACGAGGTCTGACAATAGTAGTTTTATCTTCTGCTTGCAGTCTGTACATTTTGCCATGTTTGCCTAAACTTCATAATATTTCTTTGTATACTTTCTTCTATTTTTACGAACACGAATGTGAGTACCTGTCGAGTTCCCATTGTTGTCATAGTCAAATAGTATTTTCATATGGGTCGCGTTTAGGTATTTCTATTTTTACTTTGTCACCTTTCTGAAGTTTGAAGCCCGGCATTCTTTCTTGTTTGTCTCTTTGACTAAACTATTAAATATATAGTCTTTCTCTAAGTCAGGGTTGTTTTCATTTCTTCGGGGAGTGGTTTCCCAAACCTTTTTGTTTACGGTTATTGTAAATATTTAAAACTTTCTCATCTTTGCCCATGGAGAAGTGTCTATATTTGTCGTTCATTGACATTTCATTTGCTTCACCACCTTGTGGTTGGTTTAAGTCTCTTAACATTTTTATACAACGTCAATGACACCAAGCAGAGAATGGTTTTGGTCGACAATGAAATATGGTTTACATTTTTGAACGCAGATAGTTTTTAATATCGTCTGATTTGAAAGAACTTTCATAGTCAGATGTCAGTTTTGTTGGATGGTATTTGTCAACGAATATTGTCAAAGCAGTTTTCACATCTAAAATATTTTTGGACCATAATGGTATGGCTTCACAGTATCTTGTGTTTTGACCGACAAATATTAGCCAGTATGGGTGGTCCATCTTCTCTATATCTCGGAATGTTTCCAAGATATCCATAAACCAAGCATTTGGTGTTGAACTAAAGATTTTTACCATGAGTGCTTTCTTTGTTGCTTTAGAAACATACGGGTCCTTGTTTGAATTCGTCATTTTTAACCATAAGAAATGGGTTTATTTGGCGCATTAGCAGGAGTCGCATCTAGATTTTTGCCCGCAGTGGGAACACTAGCCAGAGGTGCATTTGGAATTGGAAGGAAGATTTTGAGTACATTAGGTATACTGAAAGAGAAAGCACAACCTATTATACAAACTGTACAGAAAGGTTGGGAGGTAGCACGAGAATGCAGCAAATCTTATTCCAAATCCTGAAACAAGAGGAAAAGTTCAAGGATGGATGGACAATGTAGAAGACAAGCAGGAAACTACTATAACAAAGCAAATGACTACTATAACCAAGCAGGGCACTACATGGACCAAGGTGAAGATTCTTTAACAGAGGATATACCATGCACAACAGTGGGTAAACCAACCAACCTCAACCGCCTCAAACGTGGGGAATGTAAAGTTTTTTACTGAGATGAAATGAACAATACAGCATTGAGACAAATGGGTTCAAGATGGATTTGTTCGGCTTCCAGCAGTTACACCACCACGTGTTTGTCAAGTTTTTCCTATACCTCAGGAAGTTTTAGAACCGACATAAAAAACCTAAACAACCAGTTGAAAACAAACCAAACTAAAATTTTTTACTGAGATGAAATGACGAAGAAGTTGAAACGGTAGATTTGACACCACAAACAAAAAGTTCAGAACCATTGTCAAAACCTGTCAAGAACTTACAGATGAAGAGAAAAATTCAATAATAGAAAGTGCCAGGTCTGGAAATACAAACCCTAACTACAAAGTCACTTTTCATAAAAAATGGAACGGCAAGTATCTCAAAAAAGAAACAGACTCTCACAAATAAAATATTGAAGTCTGAAGGAGTTTATGAGACAACAGATGGAAAAGTTTACTTCACTGACCAACAGTTCATTATAGAACATCTCATTGACTTAGAGTCGAAATATTCTAAACTTTACAACAAACACAAAAAGTTGAAAGGAAAACAGAAACAAATGGCATATGATATTTATGAAGATGTTGACGACACAACTATTCCAGCAAGTGAGGTAAAGTCAGATGAACCGAAAAGTGACGAAAAACCAATAGAAGAAGAAAAACCAAAAACTGAAGAAAAACCAAAACCAAAGTTTAGTTTCAATACTAAACCAAGTCAACCTTCATTAGCTGGTATGGGTTGGCGTCAAAGACTTATGGCAGCGGGTGGTTATGTAAAGTAAAGGAAAAACATTTTTTTTATTTTTATAGAAATGCCCCCGTATAGAATGGACAGAAAATCTGCTAGAATAAAAGCAGAGTTGCAAAGATATGGTTGGAGAGTTTCAAAGAAGTTTAAATATAGGAAGGGAAGACCCATAAAAGTCTATGACAAATTGTCTGGTCTTCGCTATGAAATGGACTTAGAAACAGCACGCGCAAATTATCCAAACAGACTAGAGAGGTTAGAAGAAGAACGTCTTATGGACATGCTTTCGATGTTAGTGAGCCTCAAGTTGAAGGACACGACGGCTTTGCCAGATTCTACTGGAAACATGACGAACAAATGCATCCTTTGAGAGGAAAAAAGGAAAAGTGAAGAACACACATGCTCCCATGGAAAGAACAAGATATGCATATGAAAAGTATCGTGAAGTTAGAAGTCAAATTACATCTGGTCGAACCTTTACAGTAAACTTTGACGAAGGAAAGAACAAAGAAGGCTTCATGGGAGTACTTGCTGCCATACAAGACGGAAATAAGAAAGACACAATCTCAGACTAACCGTAAAAGATTTGGATGGTCATATTTTACTATGCACATGCAATGTCACAACAGCCGCACAACTTCTTGACGCTTTCAAGACTACAAAGAGAGAACAAATGTTTGACTCCGACTCAGACATTTTGAATGCAATTGAAGGAATTGCAAGTGTCAAGTTCGAATGGTACCAACCTAACCCTCAAGCAGTCAGACAACATGCTGGATACTTCCCGTTCAGAAATAAGTCTGACATTGACTTGACAAGGTATGGAATTTACAATTCAATTGAAACAATTGTCAATGAACCTTGTATTCTTACATGTCTCAGGAACTCTGGTCTTGTTACAGATGAGAAGATGAAGTATCTTGAGTCATGTGTGAAGACAAGGTACATTCTCAGAAGTCAATTGACAAAAGTTGCACCGTTGGCAAATGTCAATATCCGAGTCAACATTCCGACTGAGAAAGGTTCTTCACACGACGACTATGTTGTTGACTTCAAATTGCCATGGTTGAAGATTGTACTTGTCCACAACCACTTCATGTTGAACGAAAGTCTTACAAACCCATTGTTCGGAAAAGGCAAGTGCAACATTGTCAGAGCTGTTAACATTCTTTTCGAGAAAGGTTTGTTTGAACCAATTCCAGATGACAAGCTGACAGAAACTTTTGTACCAAAAGACGAAACAAACTTTTCATTGTTAGCAAGACCAAAAGTTGTTCCAGACAAAGTTCTAGCACAAAAGAAGTACACAGCTCCAAAAGGAGTTGGATTGTTCGGATACCAACCTGAACCAGAAGAACTTCCAATGAGGTTGCAAGAACTTCAAGATGCTATAAACAAACTTCATTTGAGACATCCAATTGACGTCAAATTGTATTGGAGAGCTTCTGAGTTAGGTCAGAAGGTTTTATATGAAACAGGTTGCTTCGACGATGTTTATGAGATAACAGGCGAAGTTTCTCAAAAGATAAGAGACTCACTTGAATTTCCACGAACTGGACCCATTGGTTGCGACAAGTTCGACTCAGATGAAAAAATATACTATGTCGACCTTAACGCTGCGTACATGAGGTTTGTCCAATATATCCCGACTGGAATTCCAAACGAAGATGGTGAGTTCCCGGGAAGGAACGATACAGTTGGAAAAGTCATACAACAAATGTATGATATTAGGAAAGCTTCAAACCCCAAACTTGCAATGACACTCAAA